ATGCTGCGAGGCCTGGCCATGCCCTGAACCGTCCAGATGGACGGTTCAGCCCCAACCGGCGGGCGGCAGCCTCAAGAGCGCCGCCAGGCCCAAACGATAATGCCATTTGGGCCTGCCCGTCGGGTACTGGTCCAAGATCAGACCTTTAGGGCCTGTAATACGCCAAGGTTGGGCCTTTAGGCCCTGATGTGTCCGTCCGGCCCTAAGTCGGGTCCGGTAGGACCCGTGTGCGTCGAAGATGTAACAGAGAGAGAGAGACAGTTGACATTGAGACTTGGTGACTTTGGGTCATCGCCTGATTCAGTGACATTGTATGAGCAGCAACATTGGGGATGCATTGGAGACTGGGTTCGTCGGGCTATGGTGGCTGATCCTCCCTATCTCCTCCTCCCTTCATCTCTTCTTCCCCACCTTCGTCCGTGTTTGTATTTGGACTCAGCGCACCTTCTATGCTTGCTGCGTTGAGCCGACTCGCACTGAGTGATGATGAGTGATGTCAGGTCCTGTCATTGTCCCTGCTGAGCCAGATCTTGGTATTTCTGCTATTTCAGTCTTCCAATGTGCTATTTTTGTATTGTCTCTGAAAGGTCGGTTCTTGGTTCTGATCGATGCCGATTAGGCATGCGAGTCATGCAGCACACAGAAGGTTGTCCACATTCAATGAAAATCATGGTGGATGGCGAGTGGTGCAGTTAGGCGCTAAGTACCCACCCATGTGGATTCTTTGCTGTTATTTACCCCCTTCCTGCATAAGTACCCCCCAATCTATCTACACAGAGACAATTTTCTTTTTTCTAATATATAAGGGGGTTGTCCTTGAAATGACATCGATTGAATTCGCGACCTGCCTTATCAACCAGGTACATGACACATGTGTGTCCCAGTCATCCACAAGGCTGGGGTGAGGCGGAAAGTGCTTACCAACCATTGTGGTGGACCCTTTGGCTACTAAGAATTCCCAGATTTGTATACACAGAAGTTGCAGTTAGGTTGGGTGGGCAGGAGTGCATTCAGGCAAAACAGGCCGACAATCAAAAAGGAAGGGGGAGGGGCAGGAGTGCAGTCAGGCAAAACAGGCTTGGTAGAGCTGTAGGTGCAAACGGTCTGTGGGGAGTGATTGAGAGTGTGCCCTTGTTGGGGGGGTTGGGAGGGGGGGGGAAGGGGAGAACACCTAAAAACATCCTCTTTAGGAGATACCTGGTAGGAGGGGAAACGAAGACACAGTTGCATTTGAGTTTTTTTTTCACTGATCCATTTTTTATTTTTATTTTTTTTCGTCGTTGTTTCTGTTTTGCTCTCGGCGGAGAACCGTTTTGCAGCTATATAACGGATCGAGGCCGAGTGTATATTAGATCTGCAACAAAGGACTTCATGGAAGAAGTCAACACAGTAACTGGATACACAGGGAAGCCAATCAAAATCCAGGTACGAAATTTGTCCACGATTGATTCCTTTTCCTTTTTTCCCCATATTGTTTTGTTCCATGGTCTGTCATACAGTCCATAGGTCTAGGAATTCTAGAACTCTGTTTGTCCGTCTGTCAGTCACAAACGTGGACGCAATGTGCTTGCGCGCTGGATGGGGAAGTGCTGTTGCAATCTTGTGCATTACAGAAACAGATGAGCGGAGAGTAGTGTAATTGTGGTCAGCAGTACCTGGTGGCATATCTTACCTGGAGTGTGTGTGTGTGTGTGTGTGTGTGTGTGTGTGTGTGTGTGTGTGTGTGTGTGTGTGTGTGTGTGTGAGAGAGAGAGAGAGAGAGAGAGAGAGAGAGAGAGAGAGAGAGAGAGAGAGAGAGAGAGAGATGAGCGGAAGACATTCAGAGAGGGAGAGTGCGAGGCGTGTGTGAGCATAGCATAGGAAGAGAGAGAACAGTGATCGAGAGAATAGACGTACCTGTGTCTTGTATTTGAGCAGCCATAGCTGCAAGCTTGAGAAAACAGCTCTGTTTGCTAACTTTATTTGCGTTGACTTGCAGAGACCATTTTCGAGCTCATATCTCCTGTGCGCTTTGTGTTTGTTCGGACTTGTGTGAGAATCATGTGGTGAAACTTTCGTGGAAGTGTGCGGTGCATGGTGGTCTCCATTCAATTACTTGTCATTCCTCTTAATATCTTTTCAGTTTCTTTTTAGTTTCTTAAAACTTTCTCCAAGGGATTGGAGTTTGAAGTTTGAATTTTTAGTTTCAGTTTTTTTTTAATGCATGTTATCCTTGCTCAGGGGCCGTGCTAATCGTTCCGATTTTAACAGATGTCTTCCTTCCATTCGCTCTCATGACATTCGCCAAGGGATTGGAGTTTGAAGTTTGAATTTTTGACGTCTTGATGAACATGTACCGGCCGGGGTGCCATACCCGCCGGCTTTTCGCAATCTCTGTGTACCTTGTGTGCCATACCCGCCGGCTTTTCGCAATCTCTGTGTACCTTGTGTACCTTGCATACCGTGTGTACTGTGTGTACCTTGTGTACCTTGTGTACCTTGTGTACCTGTGTACTTGTGTGCTTTAGCATGTGTGATGGTATGCTTTGCTTTAGTATGTGTGAAGAGTCTGATGACATGAATGCTTTTGTACTAACAACTAACAACAGCAACAGCATGTAAATAATAATTAAATAAATAAAAAACATCAGTTTTTTTTTTTCAAGAGAAATTATAAGAATGAATTTCAAATTTTCAATGAAATAAATAAATGCGAAAGTCTGTAATTCACTCCCTACCCTATCCCCGGTAGACTGTGTAGTTGACTCTGTACCATCCAATGTATTCCCTCCCTACCCCCGGAAGTTCCGGAACAAACCCTTTTGTCTTCTTCCAGTGGAGTTCGAACTCAGATCTGCATTTCAACAGTTTAGGGTTGTACCAACTTAGCTAGGCCACTATGTAACCCCGGAACAACCCCTATAAAAGGGGTGGAAGCAGTTAATTCCACTGTGTTTATTATGTCTGGTTGGATGGATGTGGCCTTCTTTTTTGCAATGCAAATTCACAATCTTTTGTTAATCAACAAGGAGAGAAGAAGTGTTTATCATGCATGCACTGCCATGCAGTCATTCTTTTTTTTTTTTTTTTTTTTTAATCCTGCAGTCATTCTCACGCCGATGATGGATGCAGAGTTTGCACTTCGAACCCTCAACTTTGCTGATGATGCATGCAGAGCTTGAAGTTTTGAGCCCTCAACTTTTTGCTCTTTTTCCTTTGTCCACCCTTGACTTGCTGATGAACATGTCAATGTGAATGTCTGTACTGCTCTGTACTGCTCTGTACTGCTCTGTACTGCTCTGTACCGAGTCTGTATAGTCTGTGCCATTCGTTCAACTGATTTGCGCACCCGTCTTTACTGTTTGTTGGATGGATGCCGCTATTGGATTGCGAATTTGCAATATTTTTACCATCACAAAAGTGCGGGAGGGTTTATCATGCGATCATTCTCACCGATGATGGATGCGCCTGGACATGGGGACGCAGCTCGTTTTCTGCTAGTTCCCCAATAGGACTGGGATCACTATGCGATACAAGTGACAGTCAGCCTAGCTTGGCATCTTGCCGGATTGCTGCCGGCACGCTCTCTGGGCACAAGGTAAGAACGTGCAAGCTTCTTCTTCTTCTTATTATTATTATTATTATTGTTATTATTATTATTAATTTATTATTATTACTCCTCCTCTTCCTCTTCTGCTGCTGCTGCCGCTGCTCCTCCTCCCTCTCCTCCCTCTTCTTCTTTCTGGTCTGTGTTTTCTTTTCTTTTCTTGTTTTCTTTTTGGGAAAAGGGTTAGCCCAGAAGTCTACGGTTTCTATCAGGATTTGAACTCTCGACCTTCTTTCTTTTCAGAAAGCTAGCAGGCACGGTCTTTGGGTGCAAGGTAAATAGGTGCACAGTTCCAAACCTTGTCTTCTCTCTCTCTCTCTCTCTCTCTCTCTCTCTCTCTCTCTCTCTCTCTCTCTCTCTCTCTCTCTCTCTCTCTCTCCCCCCTTGGTTTTCGTCTATGTGTCTCTCAAACTGTGTTCATGATGCACTGTGTATTAGTGTGTAATGAATATGACTGGAGATCACCATTCACTGCAACGTTGACTTGCGACTTTGCGGAACACAGTTGTCATGGGTGGACTACAGAGGAGAGCACAGTGGGAACATGCGAGTTGAAAGATAGGTCTCTCGTTGTCTCCCTCTTCTCTCTCCCTCTTTTCCCTCTGCTCACCCCCGCAAACATCCTGGCTGTGAGCGAGTTTTCAGCAAAAGAGTTATCATGAATGTATGTGGCCAAAGACATCACCAGCACATGCAGCCACAGTTGATCACTGCGAGTGCATCCTTTTTTTCTGTGTGTGTTTTTTTTTTTCCGCAAATAATGTCCATTGTTGTTGTATGGACTACGTGTAAGAAGTACTAAAAACGGAATCATGGCGTAGCCTAAAGCACATATATATCATGCAAAAGAAGCAAAACAAAATATCAGATTAAAAAAAAAAAAAAAACACAAAAATCCAGCCCATATAACTGTTTCAGTGAAAAATCCGCCGAAAATCGCATCCCTTGTTTACCCCGTGTGACACCATACCAAGGCACGATAATTGCCATCATGAAAGAAAAAAAAAAACATTTCCTGCAGAGGGCCAGAGGAATAAAATGCAATGAAGATAATGACAAATCCCCTTTGTTGTTGAGAATCACGAGCATTAGGTCATGACAATTAATGGGGGAGGAGAAAGGTGCAATGAGCCCAGACGTGATGATACTCGTCAACATTACCAGTCCCTATGATTATCGATCTGCTGATGAAATGACAAACAATCGTAATATGTGTGATGATAGAATGAGGTGAGAATCATACACAGACGAAGGAGGAGAGAGGGAGAATAGACAAAGGAGAGAGAAGAAGACAACAGCCCACTTCTACT